GGCAAACACTGGCCTCCACAACGCAGAGACCAGAAGAGCCAGCCACCCCCCCCAACTGCTGTGAGAGGGGCCCCCAAGAGAAGGTCCGGGAGGCAGCGGCAGGAGCGTGTGGGGCAGAACTCAAGATGGTGAAGCAGAGCAGGCCTCCTGGTCAGAAAGAGATGGCTGGGACATCCCCCAAGAAGAGGGCCGTGCCGTCCCCTTCAGGTCTGGAGCGGAATGGACCCCCGTGTTAGAACCACTGCCCACTTCAGAGGAAAGGGCCTGCACTGCCCCAGCACAGGGCTCAGAGGGGTCGGAGAGGGGGCCGGAGGCAGGAGACAGTGGAATTGGGTGAGTGCAGCGAAGGAGGTGAGTCCGGTGCTCCCTGGTAGCCTCTCTGTGTGAGGTTCCTTTTGTAAACCGACTGTGTGTCCCTCCCCACCCCCAGCCAGCAGGAGGTGGACATGAGGACGGATGGACACTGGCTGAGGCAGCCTTTATTATCATTTATTGGTCTCCCAAGACATGCCCTGTCCCCTCACTGCCCCTCACGGGTCCCTCCCCACTGAGTAAGGGGCACCCGGGGGCCCCTCTCCATTCTGCAGTGCTGGACCAGCCTGACGCATGACCTTCCTGATCCAGGACAGGTAAGGGGCCACAGCAGTGGCCACGGGCGGCCTGAACACGTTGGTGCACGTCTTGGAGCTGAAGGACAGGATCCCGGCCACCGACCCTGGGCTACACACCAGCGGCCCGCCAGAGTCACCCTTCAGAGAGGACAGAGCAGTCACTGTGCTGGCCACTGCACCAGAGGTGGGCGGGGGGTGGGGAGGCCTCTCTCCCAGCCCCACCCCTGGCTCCCATCGTTCTCTCCACCCCAGGGCCTTGGCACCTGCCAAGCCCAGACTCAGATCATCTTCGGGGGCCACAATTGGAACACCAGCTCTGCCACTTCCCAGCGGGTGACCTCAGGCAAGCTCTCTGAGAGAGAGGGTCCAACGTTGGCCTACCTTGCAGGGGGCCCGGTCTGGGGAGTCCGCTGAGAAGCAGACCTCGTGTGCCGAGAGCTCGCCGTGCCAGAAGCGGCTGTTGTTACACATCCGGGAGTCCAGCACACGCACGTCCAGCTCCTGCAGCGCCTGGGCTGGTGGTCCCCCTGGGCGGGTCAGCCCCCAGCCGGCCATGCTGCACCTCGCGCCCGCCGGCAGGACCTTGCGCTTGCTGGGCAGGGACAGCGGCCGGATGGTCTTGGTGGAATTTACCTTTCCAGCCAGCTGCAGGGACAATGGGGGACAGTTGGGCAGGGACACCCGAGGGAGGGGCTTGGGGGGGGCAGTAGTGGAGGACAAGTAGTGAAAGGGTGGGGTCAGGGAGGCAGGGAGTGGAGGAGGAAGGGACAGATGGGACAGGTGAAGGAGAGGGACAGGCGGTTCAGGGGAGGGATGGGGACAGTGGCAAGGGGTTGTGGGACCAGGAGTGGGGACCGCAGGGCGGTGGTCTGGGGAGCAGTGGGGAGCGATGCCCCCGCCCCCCTCTGTGCCACCACCTTCAGCAAGGCGAGGTCGTTCTTCAGCTTGGGGGCTGCCTGGTAGCCTGGGTGGGGCACGGCCACCCTGATGGGGAAGGAGAGGCCCCGGTGATTGGGGTCGGCCAGGGTGTGCAGGCCCAGCACCAGCCTCAGCCTTGCCGTCCTGTGGGGCAGAAGCAGGGGCTCTGTGTGGAGGAGTCCTCCTAGCTCGTGCCCACCTGGGGCTGCCCTGGGCCCCCGTGGGCTCCCGTGGACTTGTGCCTCCCAGAGGCACAACAGTTTGAGCAGACCGGCCTCTGAAGTGGGTGCTTGGTGAACAGCTGGCCCGGGCCAGCTCTGCTTCTGCAGGACTCTGTTCTGTGGGAAAGCCTCCTGAGGAAGGGCAGATGGGCTGGGTGGGGACATACCACACACACACACACACACACACACACACACACACCACGCACACACATCCCATAGACACACACATCCACACACAACACACACAAGCACATATTCACACACCATCCACACACATGTGCACACACAACCACACACACCGCACAAGACACACACAGCATTCATACATACATACACATACACCACACAAGCACATATTCACATATCATCCACACATATGCAGACACACACACAGCGTGCACACATACACACACACCACACACACACATCCCATAGACACACACATCCACACACAACACACACAAGCACATATTCACACACCATCCACACACATGTGCACACACAACCACACACACCGCACATCAGACACACACAGCATTCATACACACACATACACCACACACACAACACACACACATCACACGCAGCACACACACCACACATCAGACACACATACAGCATGCACACACACACATCAGACACACACGCATCATACACAGCGCGCACATATACACGCACCACACAAATGTACCACACATCAGACACACACACAACGCACACACACACACCAGACACACACACACAGCACGCACACACATACATACACCACACGCACACATCAGACACACACGCATCATACACAGCGCGCGCATATACACGCACCACACAAACGTACCACACATCAGACACACACACAACGCACACACACACACCAGACACACACACAGCGCGCACACACATACATACACCACACGCACACATCAGACACACACGCGCGCACACACCCTCTGGCCACATACTCATTTGATCTCGAGTCCGGTGACGGTGGAGGTGCTTTGCAGTGAAAGGGTCCCTTCCACTCTGGTGTCCCGGTCACCCTCTGGCCACCAGATGGCAGACACGGGGCAACTAGCCGGACCAACCTCAGAGTCTCCCGTGCCCCTTGCCCCTCCCCACTACACCATTCCTAGCCAGTCCTGGAGAGGGATGCCCCCGCCCCCACCGCTGGAAGTGAGCAAGAGGGCCCAGGGTAGAAGTTAGAGGGAGTGGCACTCACGGTGGTTCCAGGCAGTGGGCAGCGGTCAACACCCACTTTGGGTGCACAAGGACTCCCCCGCACAGGTGGCTGCCTGCCTCCTGCAGCGAGACCATGTAGGGCCGAGAGTGGGGGGCAGCCTCACGACCCCCGATGATCCACGTCTTCAACGGGTGGTCTGTGGGGAGGTGGGCAGAGAGCTGGACCCTGACGTCCCCCTCCCCACCCTGAACCTAAGACTTCTTGGTGGGAGATCAAGAGTTGGCCCTCACCCCTCCCTGCCCCGCCCCCATCTCTGCCCACTGCCTGCTCTGGCCCCAGCTCTGAGGCGCCTTGGCCCCACAGTGGCAGCCTGGAGGGGGCCAGCTGCCTGGCAGCCCGTGGGCTGTAAGAGGGCGCTGGGGTGGCGTGGCACGAGTAGACTACGCACGGCACCCCACGTGAGTGCCTGAGACGCAGACCTGCGTGGCTGGGAAAAGTGTTCTCCGAGACAAGGGAGCAGGTTGTCAGTAAGCAAGAGTGACCCAGGTCTGGGGCAGACAGACCCACAAGGTGGGCGGCCAGCTCTGCTGGGGTGGGGCTGGGGCCACAAGGCCCCATGGAAAGAGCCCTGTGAGCTCAGCAGGGGCAGGGTGGGCTTGACCAAGGGGTAGGATTGGGGTTTCTGGCTGTCCACTGGACCCTGGGCAGCATGCAGGGTTAGGTGTTGGGACTCGAACTGCCAGGTCAGAAGTTCAAACCCACCAGCCGCTGAAGGGGAGACAGATGAGGCTGTCTGCTCCTGCACGAGGTGGCTGCACACTGGAGTCCCCTCGGTGGCAGGGAGTTTGAGTTGCCCCTCTGACGAGAGGCTTGTGTGGTCTGTGAAGGGGCTAGACCTGGGCTCACGGATTTTGGGGCGGGGAAAGTCTGGGGTCGGTGACAAAAAGGGAGATCCGTGACCAAGGGCAGGGGCTGACCCAGTGGCTGCAGCAACGGGGGCTCGAGCGTGGGGACTTGTGAGGCCGTGTGGACGCTCAGGGCCCAGCTGGCTGTGCCTCTGTGCTGTGCACCGCTTCCAAGCCAGTGGGAACCCCACCCCCCCCCACCCCCCACCTCCCCCGCACCGCCACTGAGCACTTTTTAAAAAAACATTCGGAGGATTTTGAAAACTAGTGTTGAGTAGAAATCTCCATTTCCTCTTGGGTCACAGGACCACACCCTTGGCGGCCCTGACACACTCCAGCCTTAGTCCTGCCTGTAACCTTCTCATCTAGCAGTCCACCCCACCCAGGGCCCAGCCTGCCTCCTCCCACCCTACCCAGGACCCTGTCTGCTTGCCCTGCTCCTGCGGCTGTCTGCTAAGACACCAGCTACACTCTGACCCTGGCTCTTCCTGGTCTGCTCCTTCCTACTAGGGCCATGCCCGCCTGCCCCCTGGTGCTGTCTGCTGACACCTGCTCTGCTCCCACCCCAAGGCCGTGTCCGCTGCCCTCTCAACGCTGTCCACTGCGACACGCTGGGAAGGGAAAGGGGGCGTGAGGTGTGAGATCCTAAGGCTTGGTCTGCGGTTCTGAAGTTGTGTCAAAAGGGAAAAAACAGGATCTTTCTGGAAGTGGTCTTGGGCCCTTCATCCTCACCTGGTTTTAATGCAAGTGTTGGGCAGTCTCATGGGGATGCCGTGACCCACCTCACCACCTGCCGCCCCTCAGTCCAGCGACCTCGGGGAAGCCTCTGAGCATCCTCACCGCACAGGGCCGGCCCCTCTTTAAACATCTTTTGGATCCAAGCACATGGCCTGGCTTGGGGTGGTGGGTGAAGGCTCCCCCCTTGCCCCCCCTGCCCTCCGGCGAATGGGGGCTTGCCCTTCACATCTAGTGCGGGGTGGGGCGGGGGGCACAAACCAGGGCTGATGGGCCCCAATGGGGACGTGGACTTTACCCCCACCTGCTCTCACAGATCCACTAAGTCTTGGGCCCGGTGCCCCTGCTCACCTGCAGCCTGGGTCCCCAGGGCCTGTGGTGGCGGCAGCAGCAGCAAGAGCAGCAGCAGGCGCCTCATGCTGCAGGCAGGAGAGAAGTGGCTAGCCCGTGCCCCACCAGCCCCGACTGGCTTCCTGTGGTGAGCGCTGACGACTGACTCCAGCCCACAGACTGCCTACCACATCTGGGGACCTGTGACCACCAGGGGCTCTGGAGGGTATGTAGTTTGTGAACCCCCTTCTGCTTCAGTTCTCGGGGGTGATGGGGCTGTAAGCATGTGTGCGCTGTGGGCAGCATGTCCAAGGGACGCCCATGTCACCAACACCTGGGAGTGACCGATACAGCACTGTGGGGCTCGGAGGAGGGCCTGCCTGGGCATCCCCTGCCCCTCCTGTGCGCCCACCACCGGCTCTGGGAGGACCCTGACCTTGCTATTGGTGCAGATGGGCATCTGAGAAGGGGTCAGAGTACCCTGAGCAGGCCCCTTGGGCCTGGTCCACTGTCAAGGGAGCAGAGTTGCACCCGTCAGATTTTATGAACCTGGTCAGGACTAACCCTCCCAACACCCAGCCCCCCACAGGAAGCACAACTTCACACCCCTGAGGGGGAGCTGTGGAAGAGTGGGGGGAAGGCGTGGGGCCAGAGCTGTGGAAGAGGGGTTCCCAGGTTCGGCGGGTGGTGTGCACACTAGACGGGAGAAGGCCGTCTCCCAGGAGGTGGCCGGTGGCCACACCACACCCCACTGGTGCGCTGGTGACAGACACCCAAGTGGACACTTGCAGGCTGGGTGCCTAGGTGGCGGCATCCTTGGAAGGGGCTCTCCTGGCTCCTGCACCCCACCCAGGGCAGAGTGGTGCTGTCTAGACCAGCAGGAGCAGAGGGTGCCCATCTTGCTGGGAGATGGGGGAAGCTTTGAGTGGCCAGCATTTTGGCGGGCCCAGCAACCGGTCCTGGGAAGTCCAGGAGAGCAGGCGGCTTCTCGCAAAGTCTTTTATTGAACTCCAAGTGGCCCAGCAGCACGGAGGAGGCAGCCCCACGGGCCTAGCCTGGCCCTGCCCGCCCTCCCGCCCTTGGCGATCCCCAGACCACGCCCGGGAGGGAGACTCGGTGAGGTAGAGTCGGCGGGAGGGCGGGCGGGCGGACGGCTGTGGCCACAGTCCTGTCCTTGAGGTAAAATCTGTAAGTTTATTCGGCGGGCAGCGGGTAGGCGGGCGGGGCGGGGTCAGGACTCCTCGGTGCCCGAGTCGTCCTCCTCGTCCCCGAAGCAGCTGTCGGCGCCCTCCTCGGTCTCGCCGTCCTCATAGTAGTCGTCGTAGAACAGGTCTGAGCCCTCGTCGGGCGCGGGGGCCTTGGTCTTCACGCAGTACTCGGCCAGCGTGGTGGGAACCTTCACGCCGTCCCGCTCCGCATCCACCTTGGTCCCCAGGACCTGCTTCCTGCAGGGAGGGGGTGGTCAGGGCTGGTCCCCGTCTGTGCCCAGACAGGTCTGCAGGTCCCGGGGACGGGCAGGCCCTCACCGGATGATGTCTGTGTACTCGCGGTCTGTGCCCTTGCTCTCCTTCCACCGGCGGTACATCACTGAGGCGTCCACGTTGGCGGGTGAGAAAGTGTTGGGCTCGTTGAGGAGGGAGATGACGCTCAGCAGGATGGTCCTGGGAGGGGGAGGGGCGTCGGAGTCGCGTGCCTGCGCGGACACCGAACATGGCAGCCCTGCCTGCCCCCCACCCGACACCTGCCTCACCTGACGTTCTGGGTGGGGTTCCACCGCTCCGAGGGCAGCTCCCCGCTCTGGGGGTCGTCGACCGGGGGGTGCAGGATGGAGATGCATACGTCCCCTGTCTGCAGGGGAGACAGGAACCGAGGGCACCTCCCGACCCACACGCACCTCACACACTCCAACCCCCACCCACCCTGAAGCTTCAGGAACCACATGTGCACCACCCACGGGGCTCTCCACCCTCCCCACGGCACCCATGTCACTCACTCACACTCAGCAGCCCCCACACACACATGCGCACACACACTCACCTGCCCAGCACATACAGGATCGCCCCCCCACAGGTGTGTCTTCACACACACACCTGGCTGGTACATAAGTGACCGTTCCTCATAGACAGGCATGCAATCCACGCATTCTTGCCCAAGTAGACACGAGATCACACCTCGTAGACTTGTAGACTCGCACTCACCTGCTCAGGTACACACTTGCTCACCCAGACCAAAGGTTTGCGAGTTCACACTCCCTGACCGACTGGGACCCCGAGAGGCTCACCTCATAGATGTTGGGGTGCCACATCTTGGTCAGGAATCGGAAGGCCGGCGGCGAGTAAGGGTAGTCGATGGGGAACTTGAGGCGAGCCTGCGGGGGACGGGCCGGGGGGGCCAAGGCCACTCAAGTGAGAATGCTGGCGAAGTGGCAGTCCAACCTCGGGGTGCATGCTGGTGTGGGGGGGCCGGACCATGGCCCCTGCAAGCATGTGGGGCTCCAGGCCGGCGGCAGACGCCGACTGTGCCCTCTGCCCCCTCTTCCAGGCTGGGGGGTCAAAACACAGTGCGCACGCCCAGGGACCAGGTGGGGGAGGGATGGCAGGGTCCCACCTCTCTGCCTAGCCAGAGCAGCAGGACTCCTGGGGTGACTGAGACACACCAGGCCTGACAGCACCCCTTCTCTGGCCTGTTCTCCAGGGCTTGGGTGGGGTCTGGGGTCAGCTAGGACCAGGGTGCCCTCTGCCAGGGGATCTACCCACAATCCTTTGCAACAGCTAGGATCCTCTCTCAGCAGCAGCAGCCTGGCGGGGACTGGAGACTCCCCCCAGTCCTGCACACTCATGCTAGCAGCCACCTGCTGCCCAGGGAAACACAGACCCTGTGGGGTGGGGTGAGGGGCTGTTCAGGTCACCCCACCCCTTCTCATCTGCAGCCTGTCTCTCCACCAAAGCTCTTGAGTCACAGAACTGGTGACAAGGACTCCGGGGTGGGCGGGCTCCCTCCCCCCTCCCGTCCCACAGCACCAGGGCACCTCTTGGTACACTTGTGCACCAACCCCCCCCCCTCCCACATCCAGAAACAGCCTAGGCCTCCCTTGGGGGATCAGGGACATGATCGTAGGGGTCGGGGTCGGAGTGCAGAGGCGTGTAAGCTCTTGGTCTGACCTGTAGCCCTGGTGCCACCTTCCACTGGGAGGCTGAGCACTGGTCACCCTGGGCGAGCCCCTACCCCCCACCACAACGGCTGGCAGAGCTGGGGTCTCTGTCTCCTGGGGAGCACGAAAGGCAACTTCGGGTGGCCTTACCCGGCCCCCTACACCTCCTTGGGTAAGGGTAGAAGGATCCCTGGGCCCCTTGCGCCTGCCTCTCTGGGTGGTACGGAGGGAGCCAGGGGTGGGGTCATCCCTGGGACAAGTGACCAGGTACCCGGAGACCCCTGCATTCCCCGGGGGCTGGGGAGGCAAAGGGAGGCGGGGGACGCAGAGCCGGGGGTCAAGGAACAAGCCCCCCACCCCCTGCACTTCCAGCAAGGGTCAAGGGGCGGGGCAGTTGGATGGGGCGAGGGGCCCCCTGCTCCTGCCCGGGCCTCCGGAGGGCCCCCGTGGGCGGGGCCCCCGGGCCGTACTCACCTTAAAGTAGCCGCCCTCGTAGTAGGTGTTGGGGGGCCCGAAGATGGCCACCTCCCAGTTGTACAGGTCGCCCTCATCCACCAGCGTGACCCGGAAGCCCTCCACCGGCTCCTCTTGCAGCCCCTTGAGCTCCAGC